ACTTTCAGAATGAAACTCTCTTGTTTCCTCCATTTCACCTCATGCACGACCTCATTCAAAAGTAATACACTATCAACCAATTGCCAACCTACAATAAAAGCTACCTGTGACTCACTGATAATACCCTCAATTACCATTTTCAATCGATTGGCCAATACCTTAACTAATACTTTATACAAACAACTAATCAAACTAATAGGCCTATACTCCTTAAATTGCTCATGATTCAATTTTCTAGGAATTAATGCCAGAAATGAAGAGTTTAAACTTTTAACTAACCTCCCATTGCCATGAAAATCCATAAAAAAATTCACAAAATCTTCTTTCACTGTACTCCAAGCAAATTTTATAAAATTAAAATTAAAATCATCTAGACTTGGAGCCTTGGACCCATCACAACCATTTAACCCTTCTTCAATTTCCTCTATGGTGAAAGGTCTTTCCTAGCCATTCCCGTTGTGCATATGAAATTCTACAAAATTGAATCCCATCCATTACCGGTCGACACCACTGTTCATTCTGAAATACCTTGGAAATCTACTGCACTGCCGCCGCCTTTACAAGCTTAGGTTCCTCAACCCAACCTTCGTCACCGTAGATGCTTGAAATTACATTTTGAGCCCTCCAAACTTGAACACTCCTATGAAAAAAAGTTGTATTTGCATCCCCAAGATGAGCCCAATTAACCCGTGATTTCTATTTCCACACTGATTCCTGCTTCTTTAATGTATCCCACAACTCCTGAAAAGACTCCCTTCCCATCATCACCTCGTTTTCATTCAACCCTTCCACTTCACATTTTTTATCCAACCTCTTAATCTACTTTATCAAGTTATCAAATTGGGTCTCCACATTGCCAAAAACCCTGTCATTCCACCTTTTACATTCCTCTTTTAACAATTTCAGCTTCTGTTTACACTTGTAGGCTGCCCATCCTTCAATCTGCATAGTCTTCCATCTTTCGTTTATAAAATCTATAAAATCATTATGTTGTTGCCATACATCAAGTACCCGAAAAGGCTTGGGACCCCAATCAACATTTCTTGATTTCAAAATAATTGCACAATGATCTGAAATTGACCTTCGAATGCCCACTTGAGCCCAATCACCCTTTAATAAATCCATTTCAGTGGTTAGTAAGAATTTGTCAAGTCTACTCATTGAAGTTTCATCAGGTCTGTACTATATAAACTTTCTATTCCTCAATCAGACATCTACCAACCTAGTTCCTTGCACAAAATGATTAAATTCTTCCATGTCCTATGTCTCACCTAGCCTTCCTTTCCTCTCTGCACTATTACGAAGAGCATTGAAATCCCTTGCCAAAAGCCATCTCCCACCCTCTTGCAAAACTAATCTGCTCAATTCCCCCCACAACACAACTATACGTTGCCTGTCACACAAAGCATACACATTATCGAAAGTCCATTGAAGCTGTTGCTTACCCCACTCACTCGAAATCCCGATGAAACCATGTCCTTCAACTACACTTCGTTTTACAAAATTCCTCTTATTCCATATACACAACAAACCACCTGAATTACCATTAGATTTTTGCATCACC